AAAACCTCATCTTTCTCCCATGGAACAGCTGGTAGTTTTTAACTGCTGACCTCCAGGTTAGCAGCTTGACTTGTAACACCTATGCTACCAGAGCTCCTTATATAGGGTATATATAGCTACCTTATATAAAGATGGAGTCCTGGTGTGGCGCTGTGGGTTAATGTGCCAGACTGCAAAGCCATTTGAGCTGCAAGGTCGGCAGTTCAAGCTCACCAGTTGCTCCTTGGAAACCCTATACAGGGTAATTATGGGTCGGAACCGACTCGATGGCACTTCACAACCACATACAAAGATGATTCCAAGCATAATTGTAGGCTGGGTGGGGGGTCTTGAGTTTTATTATTCTTTTGTTTATTGCTCACTCTCACCACCTTGAAGACATTACTACAGCATTGCTCTGGGACCCCATGCTAGCTCATGAACGAAGGGCTGAGTCAAAAGTTATCAATTCTACCAGGAACTGTGCAAACTCGGCACAGAATAACTTCCGCTGAAATCAAATTACATCACACACACTCCTGTTCAAGTGTACGATTTTATTGCTGAAGGAAGAGAAAATCAATGCGTTTTACAAATTTGAGGACTGCAACAAGCTGTAGATTTTCTTTCCAGACATTCCTGTGCCATGTTCCCCAGTCAATAACCCGGACACAGCCAAGAGGTCCGATTTCAGATAAGTAGAAACAGGGATCAGCTGCTATCTGCAATCGCTTTAGAGATTTTTGAGAAAACAGGCATATTGTAACGATTTTTAAAATGTTGCTTAAACCGCCAGAAGGAATCCTTACCAAGCAGCTGTGCCGCGGGACACTGAGCAGCTGAAACATTCTGCCAAGTTTCAAGGTCTTCAGGCAAGAGGGGCTCGACAGCCAACTGTGCAAGCACTCGAAGGACCGAGAACTCGAGGTGACCCAGCTGTGTCTGGGACCGACCCGTAGGCCACACGCTCCCAAAGCTCCCAGACCAGATACTACTGCCTTAGGGGAGCCCAACTGGCACTTCCGGCTGTGAGAATCCCTGGATGGTGGAAGCTGCTTTCTGAACTCAGGCAACGGCAGGATGGAAACGTACTCTTCACTAATGGGGCAAGAACGTGAGCCACGCAGGCTGGCTGACCCAGTTTGCTCTTTTTTCTGACTTCCCATTTCTCAGAGACTTGAGAAGGCAGATCGGTGAAGAGGAGCTGAGGAGCTTCAGTAGCAACCACCTTGGTACAGTAATGGGATCAGCTGGAAGGGTTTGTGGTATTAAGCTTTGAACTACCCTCCCAGAAAGAAATGCTGCAGATACTGACTGGATGAGGGAGGGGGCTTCAAAAAGTTCATGGAAAAAATCCCATTATCTTTCTATTGCATGTTTCCACAAACTTTTCAAAGGTCCCTTGTATATGAAAACAAACCCGTTTGTGAAAAGCTGAGATGTGATGTGGCAGGCTCGGGGTTCAGTCCGAGCATCCCTAGACAACCATTTGGAACCCCCCTCGAGTGTTCAGTCTGCTGTGACTATCTGGGGGGTCATGTGTCTCAGTGCGCGTGCGCACTGAGAAAGCTGGGAGCCACCACTCAGCTGCTCATCCACTAGGAAGGCGGGACTGTGTGGGTTGTGGGGGCAGACTTCCTCTGATGGGCCCCTCAGGGAAGTCATAACAGTCAAGGGGTGGGGTGCTGTTGTTGTGAAGTGCTGTCCTGTCGGTTCCGACCCACAGAGACCCTGTATAGGGTTTTCGAGGGGCAGCTGGTGAGCTTGAACCACCGACCTTGCAGTCCGGCACATTAACCCACAGCGCCACACCAGGGCTCCAAGGGGAGACATCAAGTTACAAGTGCTCAACTCACATGGTCTGGCATCAGGGGGCACACACAGCGTGTGTGGGGGGTGTAGGTGGGAAAGAGGTGCCTGAGAAGGAAGCTTTGGATGCCCACCTAACTGCTGGAAGTCTGGAGCAGGGATAGAGGAACAGAGCTATAAAAGGCCCTCAAAGAATAAATGTCCTGTCCTGTCTTTATAATAATAATCTGTTAAACCAAACCATTCCCTTAACTGGGGAGCATTTTGGAGATTATTCAACAAAACAAAACTGTTGAGTGATCACTGAGCACCAAATTATTTTACAATCTGTGTTACTTATGGTGATTTCTCTTTCCACAGTCCATAATTTCCAAAATAGTCCTTTGTCTAATAGCCATGGGCAACAACGCTCATCTCCCACGGTGCTTTGCTTCTTCCTTTTCCTCTCACAAACCTGTTTGATCTCAGCCCCGAGGCTCCCCCCGGTCGCTTTTCCTGTCCTGTGGCTGCTTACAGGTGAGCATGAGAAGCAGGAGCAAAGGCAGGTGCCAGAGGCTGCAGAAGAAGAGTTTCCGGGAGCTCTTTCGGTCCGCCTCCGTGTAGAACCGGAAGCCGAGGTAGGAGATATACAGGTTGATGGGGAGCGAGATGAGGGGAAAGGTCCATGTGGTGACGTCCAGGACAGGGGCCGCTGTGGAGAGTCCGATCAGGGCCAGGCAGTGGCGCAGGGCGACCCGCCTGCACAGGGCCGGGTGTGTGACCGACATCATGCAGTAGCCTCCCCGGGAGTAGTCTTCCCGGAGGCCCCAGCTCAGGGCGTTGAAGTGAGGGAACTGCCAAGAGTAGAGGATTCCTCCCAACAGAAATGCGCCTGTACAGAGGGGTTAGGGGAAAACAAAGGCATGTTGACATCAAAGATGTACAAACGAATAGCTGTCCACCGCCGAGAACCCTATTGGTCCTACGAGGTGCTCCCTGTGGATTATGTCTAGGGTCTCAGAGTCTGCCCTTCTTTGTGCTTTGTGCTACATCCCCACATTGCCTGCCACCTAGGTGCCGGGCAGGGGTCAGCTGAATACTCCAAGGACAGCTTCCAGGGCTCTCCCTTTGGGGGCACAAGTGTGTCTGGAGTGGGGTAGGGTGGGGAGGCAGCCTCGTGGCACCGAGCAGGGCCAATGCTCTACAGGACGGGTGCCTGGTACAGTGTTCTCGGGGGTCCCCAGAGCCCACATCTGGGCCCAAAATTTGGTACGCAGCAACTACTAAGACAGCTTACATTCTGACAAGAAGTGGACCAGGATGCTATTTGTCATAAAGGAATGGGATCTGAGGGTAAAAATAAAGCACTGTCTAGAGCTTTGTGATTGTTTTCAACAAGGACAGTCAGCATACCTTGAGCAGCACTGACAGGACTCTAGAGGGACGAGGGCCTCCCCACCACCCATGTGAGCGGGCAAGATGGGAGCAGCCACGCTTATACATCAGAGTGGAAGGAAGGCTATAGTTTACTTAGTGTGTGACAGAGACTTTCCGAGAGTTTACCACATTTAATCCTGACTACAGGGCTGGAATCCCGGTGTGGCACTGTGGGATAAAGCATTGGACTGCAAGGTCGGTGGTTCAAATTCACCAGCCGCTCCTTGAAAACCTTATGCAGGGTTGCTATGAGTTGGAACTGACTCAATGGCACTTCACAGCAACAACAACATAGGGCTGAAAGGAAGCATGTAGAACCATACAATAAGCACTGAACTGTGAACCATTTGCAGGAGACAGATGAGGCTTTCTGCTCCCACAAAGATTTAAAGCCTCAGAAAACCTATTCAAGGTCACTATAGGCCGAACTAACTCTATGACTCTTAACAACAATAACATAGGGCTGGAATGTATATCTTAAAATTCTCATATTAAGAAACAAGGCAGTAAGAATAAAGGACCACTATGGTTGGAGTCGTGGTGTGGCGCTGTGGGATAAAGCACGTGACTGCAAGGTCAGCGGTTCAAACTCACCAGCCACACCTTGGAAGCCCTACACAAGGCTGCTATGAGTCTGAACTGATCCGACCGCACTTTACAAAAACAAAAATTAAATACAAATACAACACCATCACAATGCCCCAGCGACAATAGGCGATTTTAGCTCATACAAACATGACAGAATGTCTCAAACAAATGAACACAATGCAGAGCCATAGAGTGTCTCTGAGGAAGAGAAGGTGATGGAACTCACTGAAAAAGAAGTAAAAAAAATGACATTTAGGCACTTTCAAAGGACTGACAGGATGATGGAGGAAAGCAAAGAGAATAGAGAAAAAAGTTTAGAATAATTCAGGAAAACAATGCAAATTTTGAAATAATACAAAATCTGCAATTAGAAACCCAGAGCATTAACACTAAGATTTCAGAAGTGGACAATACATTAAAAGGGAAAAGGAGTAAATCCAAAGCAAGGAAGCCTGAATCCGCGAGCTTGAAGATAAATCTCTGAATACTAGTAAGCTAGAAGAACAATAAGAAAAAAGAAGGGAAAATTCTGCAGCAAGTCTAAGAGTTATGTGGGACACATCAAAGAAATAATTTACGGGTGACTGAAATTCCAGAACAAGCAAAGACAAGAAAAAGCACATAGAACATTGTCAGAGTTGCTGGAAGAAAACTTCTCTAACATCATGAAAGACAGGGAGCTTCTTGTATGAGGAAGTGGATGAACCCCACACAGGACAGATCCCAAAAGAAAATTACTGACAAATATCATAATTAAACTTTCCAACTAACGACAAGGAAAGAATCCTGAGAGCAGTTGAGGAAAAGTGAAAAGTTACCTACAAAGGAGACCCAGTAAGACTAAGTTCGGATTTCTCAGCAGACACCATGCAGGCAAAAAGGCAATGGGATGAAATATACAAAACTCTAAAAGGAAAAAACTGCCAACAAGAATCATATAGCCAGCAAAGCTGTCCTTCAAATATGATGGTGAAATTAGGATATTTCCAGATAAACAGAAATCAAAAGAATTTGTAATAACTAGACCAATTTCACAAAAGATACTAAAGGGTGTTCTTGTGATTAACATATATGACAATACCACCCAGAACTCAATCCAGATATAGCAGTATTTAAAGTAAAAACAAATGGACAGATTGAAACTAGGGAAACAGAGAGATCAATTTATAATGACGTCAATGACAAAGCCAAAAGAGGGAATAGTATAGATACAGAACTTCCAAATGGCAAAGAAGTCAAGTACATTTCAAGACAAAAATAGACTGTTTGAAATGGGGAATAAAATTAATAAATTACAGAGACACCTCAAAGAAAGTCAATACACCTTCACATCAAAATAAAAAAGAGGAAAATAAGAAAGATTTAGTAAACATTAACAGAACGGAAATGAAGAAAATGAAAAGAAAAATCCACAAACAAAACAAACTCAACACAGAAAATTATGTGAAACAAAGAAACTGTAGCACTACAAAACGCACACATATCAAAATGCCAGTAATCAATTCACACCTAATGATAATCCCACTGAATGTAAATGGATTAGAAACATAGCAAGATGGATAAGAAAACAGAATCCTTCAATATGCTTCTATATAAGTGACAGAAGAATGGTTACACAAACTTTGGTCGATACACACAACAGAATGCTATGCAATATCGAAGTACCATGATGAATCTGTGAAACACCTCACAACATGGGTGAACTGGAGGACATTATGCTGAGTGAAATGAGTCAATCACAAAAGGGCAAATCTTGTTATCAGACCAATCAGTGGTGTAATAAGTAAAGAAAAGGGTTTCTTGATACAGGAAACAATCTAGGATGTCTACATGGGGTGGGGAGGAGTGGGGGCTAGAGGGTAGACACATGTTAGCATGGGTGACAGGGCAGGCAAGGTACAACAAGAGGGAGGTTAGCAGAAGAAAGATGAAGGGCAAAGGTGACGCGGAGAGATGCAGTAGTTAAAGTGAGTAGAAGTAAACAGTGTTAACTGTTGGCACATGGAGGGGACTGCAGTCTTCGTAATGAAGGAGTGTATAAGCTTCTTTCAATGTAAAATTAATGGTCTACCCTGTAAACCTTCACTCGAGTCACAATGAAAAGTTAACTTGAAATTGACATTCCAGAAGGCATTCTTTCAGACAAAGAGTAGGTAACACCGTGAAGAATAATCAACTATACAAGACAACAGTAGGTAACACCTTAGAACAATCAACTATACAAGACCCAAAAGGCAGTAATTGTCCCAAAATAAAGATGAGAAGGCAGGGTGGGGCAGGGAACCGGGACAAACAGAAATAGGAAACCTGAAGAGGACACAGGAAGAATGCTGATATACTAGAGATTTGCAAGCAATGTCATGGAACAACTTGTAGTATGAACTATTACTGGGAAACTAATATGCAATATAAACTTTCAGCTAAAGTACAATAAAATGTTAAAAACAAATGAGGTTCAAGTGACCTGTTTTAAAAAGATGAAAAAAAATCAAAACGAGTGTCTGATTCTAAAATCAGGCCCCCTCTATTGATAGAAGTTGGCCCCACCTAGTCAGGCAGCAGCAGGGCTGGGGTGTTTGCAGTGGCTCCCACTAGCCTCTGGCAGAAAGTACCTACTGGGCAACCTACTCAGTGGGAGCCCAGCAGAAGGCCAGGGATACAATAGGAACAGATGGGCCCTGGTGTCCTGGGGCTGCCAGCCAGTCTCCAGGCCACACTAAGAAGTGCAGCCAGAGCTCTGTGCTCCTTGGAGGCCACGATGGCCAAACTTCCTCTCTCATGCTTCGGACATATTGTCAAGAGGGACTTAGTCGCTGGAGAAGAGTATCATGTTTGGTAAGGTGGAGGGTCAGGGAAAAAGAGGAAGACCCCCCCAATGAGATGGATTGGCCAAGTGGCAGCATCCATGGACTCCAGTGTGGCAACGGTAGTGAGGTTGGCCCAGGATCAGGCAGTGTTTCATTCTGCTGTGCCTAAGGTCGCTATGGGTTGGTACTGACTCGATGGCACCTAAGAACAATAACACCACTAAGGAACGCAAAATGCCCACTTAGAAATGCTCTGCAGACCAAGGAGGCCACAGTACGATGAGGAGCTGCCCCCGCCTTCCTTGAGGAGGGGTGGTTTGAGCTGATGGAGACGTATCCTAGTCATATATATGCTCAGCAGAGGGGAACGTCCCAAGTGAACAGGCCCTGGGACGGGCAGCTGCAGGCCAGAGTATGAAAAGCTCACTCCATGTGTTAGGCCACACAAAGCTGAACAGCACAACAACAACAACAACAACAACAACAACAACAAAAGGCAATTTGACTATATGATAATTTAAGAAATAAAATGAAAGGAAGGAAGGAAGGAGAGTATGGCCGCAGCAATGGAGTCGTGTGAAGGACCCTCTCCAGAAAGCCACTGCCATAAAAACCTGGGTTTCCACGGCTACAAATGAATGGCTACACCTTTCTCCTGCAGGGTAAAGGTCAGACAGTCACAGAGCACTTAACCACCGCACCACCAGGGCGTCTGGAAGCCACTGCAGGCTCTTCAAATAGGAGTGGGTGTGCACCTGTGCATGTGGGAGGCTCCTGGTGTTACCTGACGGACTTGTGGACCAACACGCAGGTATGCAAAGATCAGCTGGTGGTAAGGACCAAGGTGAGGAGGAGCACGCAGATCTGAGGCGGATTTAGGAAGCAAACATGATAGGATGTGGGGGAGCAGGGTAAAGGGCATTCTGGTCTGTGGTGATGTCACTGCCTGAGATGACAAACAGGGAGATGGAGGAGGCAGGGAGCGTGTGGGTACGAGTGTGCTCAGTTTGGGGAGTCTTTGAGATATCCTCGTACCAGTGTCGATCTGGGCTAGAGATCT